AGAGAGAGAGAGAGAGAGAGAGAGAGAGAGAGAGAGAGAGAGAGAGAGAGAGAGAGAGAGAGAGAGAGAGAGAGCCCAGTGTCAGAACAAAGGAAGCAGTGGTAAGTCATCAAGGGAGTGTGTCAATGGGACTTCCTCCACTACATACCTATTGAAATGTATCTGCCCTGTCACTGGTCCAGATGCATTTGTACTCACCGACATTTCAAACGTATCGGAACCAATTACAGGGCTGGATACATTTGGAATGTTCTGTAGTGGCATGAGGCCCAACGGCAACTGCACACATCAGTTACTCTAGCACTCTGAGAGTATTTTTTCGGATTACGTATGTATACATGATTGCATCGCACTGGAAAGATAGCCTGTATACATTCATTTACATAGGAAGAGATGATGAGAATGCATTCTTTACAGTACACCCAGGAGTACTATGGTACTCCCCCGAACACAGCACACCCTCATAAACTGTATTAGACCTTAAAAATAGCTTGTATACATTCAGTCAGGATGTGTTGTGGTTGGGAGAAGATGGTAGTAGTGGTAGAAAGTAGTACCCATGTTAGTAGTGGTGGCGATGATTGTGGTGGTCCTTCAGGAAGTGATCAAACTTGTAGCAGGCAACAGTAGTTAGTGATGGTTGTGGCGATAGTAGCGGGGGTGTTGTCGTCGTGACAGTGGTGGCAGTAGCTGTAGTAGCTGCAGTATCATCTTCGCCCGAATCGAACGCCCGGTCGTTATAGCTGTATTTGGAACAACTTTTAGCCCAGATACGACGATAACTATCGGGCGTTCTGTTCGGGTGAAGACGGTAGTTCTCACAATGGCAGCTCATATCGCTAGCAGCAGCGGTGAGTGGTAGTAGCAGTAGTACAAGTGGTAGTAGTAGTTAGTTCTAGTAAATACCTTCTAGTAAATACCTTCTAGTAAATACCTTCTAGTAAATACCAGTAGCGCTGGTAGTAGCAGGACTGGGTGGTAGGTAGCAGTGACAGTAGCATTGGGTGGTGGTAGTAGCAGTGGTAGAAAAAATATTTCTGTATACTATTTTTGTACTTTGTTTCACTGTAGTGGTTTGACTAGCCAACAATGGCGGCAATTGAAGAATCTTTGATATGTCACGCATGGTCAAGCGTTGTTTCAACCAAGTGCATTCTCTTCAACCCTTCATGAGTGCGCAGCACCTACAGCAGCAGCAGCAGCAGCAGCAGCAGATGGGAAGGAGCCTAGATAGACGACTACTAACTAAAGTCTGTCAATCGAGTGGTAGTAGCAGTTGTAGTTGTAGTCGTCGTCGTAGTAGTCGTAGTAGTTACTGTAGTAATAGTAGGAGTAGGAGTAGGAGTAGGATGGGGACCACCGCCTGTCGTGAAAGGGGGTCGCTGGGAAGGACCAACTTGGTCAACCCCCAACCATGTCTACGAGACGAACGGGTTTGTGAACGTGAGGTGCGGGTAGGATTAGGAACTAGACACGTTCGGTCAGGAAAGAGACAGCGTTTTCCTATGTATTGCGTTGAATAAGAGCGCGCATACCAGGGCTTGAAGACCGGGAACAGTAGTAGTTCTAGTAGTTCTAGTAGTAGTAGTAGTAGTAGTAGTAGTAGTAGTAGTAGTAGTAGTAGTAGCAAGTTCTTCGGGACATCCATTAAAATTGGAACGATGCAGAGAAGATTAGCAAGTTCTTCGGGACATCCATTAAAATTGGAACGATGCAGAGAAGATTAGCATTGCCCCTGTGCAAGGATGACGCGCATAAATCGAGGACCATAAAAAAAAGGCAGTAGTAGTAGTAGTACCTAACTAAGTGAATCAGCAGACAGGAAGGAGTCTAAATTGTAGTAGTCAGTATTTTTGGACGCCCGTTAGAATTGGAACGATACAGAGAAGATTGATTAGCAGGGCCCCTGCGCAAGGATGACATGCATAAATCGAGAAATGGTCCAATTTTTTTTAAAGTAGTAGTAGTAGTAGTGTCCTTCAGGACATCCGTTAAAATTGGAACGATACAGAGAAGATTAGCATGGCCCCTGCGCAAGGATGACACGCATAAATCGAGTAGTAGTAGTAGTACAGTAATAGTACCCAAGTAAGTGGATGAGCAGACAGGAAGGAGCCTGAATCGACGGCGCCCTTACTTAAGTCTGCCGCACACTCAATCAAGGCCAGGACACGAAGTGGGCGCTGGGACTCCGAAACTGCTGGCTGGTGGCAGCACCCGCATTTATATTTTGTAATCAAGCAGACGCTCTAAGTAGCAGTTGGTGGAAACTAGCAAATAAGCAGGGGAAAAAAGGAAGCTGCCCTCTATGCAGAGATCTTGGCCCGCCATTCAGTTGTCGTCGTCATCATTTTCATTGTTGTCAGAGGAGTGGTGTTGCTACCATCACTACGACGACCTTCTTGCCTCGCATGCAAGACCTGGTTATTATGACTGCATCTAGCCAGGAACTCGTCTCATGTACATCCGTGATGACAGGGTGGTGTGTTCGGGCGAAGAAGGTAATGGCAGGAGGAGAAATAGAAGTAGGAAGAGGAGTGGCTTTGGTCAGCGGACGGCAGATCCCCGGACCTTTGCATCTGGATATCGTACTCTACCCTATTGCCTTGAACACAACATCTGGCCATTACAGCCGACGTATGTTGTGCAACTTTCTGGTCATATACGGATTGGGCATTGTGTCGAGGAGAAGAAGGTAGCTGTTTTTTCTGAGCTGTGACAATGCCAGATGACTACTTTGCTTCAGCAATGAGCAGTAAGTCGTCACACGACTCAAAAAAAAAAAAAAAAACGTCACACGACTCGTCAGCATTTGCAAACCTGCGGTTCGAACCGCACAGCTCAAACATCGTCATGTTGGGGGGAGGGGAGGACGGTAGCCATTGTGTGAGCTGTGTGCAATGCTAGACGGCATAAAGGTCGCCAGCATCCCTGCATGTGTGAGCTGTGTGCAACTAACTTTTAAGTTCTTAAATAAATGGCTTTTGGATAACAGAATTAATTATGGCTGAATGGTATTTATATGCTTGTAGTTGTTTAACAACAACCACTACTTCCTAAAGCCGTGCCTGTAAACAAGCCAGGATTTTAGGAAACGTACGGGCCACTACAGGAGCGCCCAAATTCATCCGACTAGAAACGTTTCTGCTCTATTTTTTTTCCTGCGGCCGATAGCTGGGCGTAGTACTGGTGGTTGTTAGTCAAACGTCGTGTCCACAAGGCGCCGTCAAGAATCCACCGAAGAGCTAAGGTTTCTTGACGACTCTTTGGTATAATGGATGGGACTAATTGGGTGGTTCCGGAGATTCTGACTTTTCTTACTTCTAAAACAGGTTCCCCTCCAAGCCTCGTTTTCCTCACGAGTGATTTTGCCCAGCCCTGGACTACCGAACCCTTTTGTGAGGGTCAGTCCCTCAAGCCTTATTTTCCGCGGATGATCGATTTTGCCCAGCGCTGGACTACCAAACCCTTTTACAACGGTCGGCCCCTTCGAGCCTCATTTTCCCGACGATCGATTTCGCTCAGCCCTGGACTACCGAACCCCTCTGCAAGGGTCAGTCCCTCCAAGCCTCATTTTTCCCGACGATCGATTTTCCTCAGCCCTGGACTACCGAACCCTTTTGCAAGGGTCAGGCCCACCGATGGCAGTCATATCCATCGCGTTTGCGCAGGACTTTATTTTATTTTATTTTTTACAGGCAACACATTTTCGTCTGATAGATTTTTCTCGGTTTCCCTATGTGTAGCTGTTTAGTTGTAGTATTACAAGCAGGTACATAAAAGTTGTAGTCAGTGTCATTAGACGCTCACAAGTGCACAAGTCCACCAAATGATTGAAAGAATTATGACACGATACAGAAACAGTACAGTCCCTCCGAGCCTCGGTTTCCTTTTTTTTTTTTTTTTTTTTTTTTTTTTTTTTTTTTT